AAAAAAAAAAAAAAAAAAAAAAAAAAAAAAAAAAAAAAAAAAATTATTAGTTTTCAAGATACTTTCTAATGGAAACAACTTGACCAAAAACTACCACAGAATTTTGAAATTTAAAACAAGTTTAAAGTAGAAGAAAGGATATTAATTCAGAATATATAAGATTTTAATTTATCAGAAAATGTATCTAAAGATCATTTTAAAGAAGAACTAAAAGCTTAGAGGAAGGACCGGATGATGTCAAAACTGTACTGTGATAGCAAAGGCCATAGCAATCAATATCTGAGAAGACAGCCTATATAAAGGAGTATACAAATAGAGATCTGAACCAAATACAAATTTATATAAAAGTATCCAGCAATATTCTCAAAACAGTATTATTTAATAGCTCAGTCAAATACTGACTTTGTAAAAACTAGGTACTAAGGATGATCCAGGTAAGATGTCCTCTCTACACTGCTTCTTAGATATCTAGCCTTTTCATTCTACTGGCAAAATTTTTACATACATGAAAATTTCTAAGTAAGCAGTTGTTAAACTTCCCCATCTAAAGACCACATTTACAGTCAGACAGTGGTGGCACATGCCATATATCCCAGCACTTGGGAAGCAGAGGCAGGCAGATCTCTGTGAGTTCAAGGCCAGCCTGGTCTATAAAGCAAGTTCCAGGACAGGCTCCAAAGCTACACAAGAGAAACCTCTCTCGAAAAACCAAACCAAAGCAAGCAAGCAAACAAACAAACAAACAAAGAGACTACATTTACAGTACCTGGTTCTTGAATGACATCCACCTTTCCCACACTGATCTGGAGTGTTTCTCCATTCTTCGCAAAAGTCTCCCATTCAGAATCAGTCTGCTGGCAAGATGGACACCACGGGGCATAACTGTAAGATCAGAAGAACTAATCAACACAAAATATGTGGAGTTAAATCTATAAACAAAATTAATTGAATATTTGAAAACCAATTCCTAACTAAAGGGGAGAATAAAAGCACGCTATCCAAAGTCATTTGACATATAAAACCAAGAGTGTATTTCCCTTGTGATTTTATATACAAAAATTAATTCTATTGAAAATTGAGAATATTTTCAAGAATTATCTTAACATATAAGACATTTCCTCCATGTAGTTTTTATAAATGAATCAAGTTTTATCCCTTTCCAGGTAGCTTTGATCTCTGAAGCAAATATGTCCTGAGTGCCCAAAGTAAAATAACTTCCCAGGATGTCCCAATACCAGCCAAGCCAATTCCAGATCTCTCAGAACTGCAGATGTGATAGGCAGACACCAAAGACCTGTCATTATTGGGTTCCCCAGCATGTTTCCAAGTATGTAAATACCTGTGAAAGTTCTTAACTTTTCCAAAAAATAAATAAGAACTACCCAACACTTTTTTAAAAAGAAAAGGTTAAGAATATCTGGGCCTTCAAGCCATAGCTCTGCATTTACATGTACTTTTCAGCTGGAAACAGGCAATAACTTCCCATATGGGGCTTCAGAGAAAGGAACAACTGTGCTAAGCCTAAGAGAACAAACAGTCAAGATAGGGTCAACAAATGTTCCAATCTAACAGGAAAATGGTATATGTGAAGAGTCTGGCACTGAGTAAGAAGAGGGTGAAGACACCTTACACAGCCTTAAAGAAAAGCAAGGCCTAGGAAGATAGCATATTGGATAAGAGCATTGTTGTGGAAGTATGTAGACCTGGGGTTCACATCCCTAGACCATGTGAAAAAGAACCAAGAGTGGTTGTGTGTGAGGATGGCCCCAGTGCTGTTGAGGATGAGAGACAAGGAGATCCTTAGAGCTTAGAAAAGTCAACCCCCCCTCCCCCCATCCAGGTTCAATGAGAAACCAAGTATCTTCAAGGGAATGAGGTAAGCAGGACTCAGTCTCAAAAATGAGCAAATAGTAAAAAATACTGTTAGGAAAAAAACATACACAAATGACCCAGATTATAAAGCTGAGTTTTTTGTTTTGTTTTGGTTTGGTTTTTGGTTTTTGTTTTTTTTTCAGTGTTGAACTGGAAGGTATCAAAATTGAAGAGTAATTTTTTACTTATAAAGGGTGTGGACTAAATAATTTCCCCAAAATAATATGTTCAAATTATAGCTCTGGTACCTGCAAATGTGACCTTATCTGGGGTAGGGTCTCTGAGCTCTGGCACAGAGAATAGAGAGAATGCATCACAGATGCAAGGGCTGTAGCTAAACTGACATAAGAAACACACAGGCACACACCAGCAACTAAGAGCAACACAAAAGGGACACTCCCACAGAGTCCCCAGAGAAAACCAACCATGCTAAAACTTGACCCCTGCAGGCCTTTGATCCCCAGAACTCTGAAAGAATATGTTTCAGTTATTTCAAGCCTCCTATATGGTATTACATACCTATGCTCCTAAATGCTGTTACAACAGCCTGAGGAAACCAATACAGAAAACAAGATAAAATTTGAAAGAAGGACTTCAATTAAATAAGCTTTACATGTCTTAAAGCAGTGGTTCTCAATCTTCTTAATGTTGTGACCCTTTAATACAGTTCCTCGTGTAGTGTGACTCCCAACTGTAAAATTATTTTCATCACCACTTCATAACTGTGATTTTGCTACTGTTATGAATCAGGATGGAAATAATTTTTGGAGCTAAAGGTTTGTATGAGGGGTCGAGACCTACATGTTGAGAACCACTGTCATAGAGGAACAAACAGGGCAGTGCTAAATATAAAATATGTGAACAAAAAAATCCCACCATATGCTGTAATTCCACTTGAAAATAGTAACATGACTTAATTTAAAGAAAAATTTACATTTTTATAATGACACAAAAGTACACTGCTGCAAGTGGAGAAACATTTTGTTTGGTTTAATGGTAACTATAAGATAAATGCACTAAAATAAAATGATCATCTTCAAAAACTAGAACAGGATATTCAAAGGAGAAAAAGTCACCAGGAACACTGTTAAAAAAAATTCCAACTAGACATAATTTAGTAAGTCTGTTTAAATTTAACATTTAAGAAGAAATAAAGTCAAAATATTGATGAAATAAATGAAACATTTAAAAAGACTTGGTGTCATTAAATTGTTCCTACACAATTCCTTGCCTTTAAAAAGGAAATCAAAGGGGAAAAGTGATAAACTAGTCAAATTCTAAAGTTTGGGGGTTTTTTGTTGTTGTTGTTGTTTTAGGTGCTTGTGATCAAACCTAGGCCAAGTGCACAGTCACTGAGTTATTTTCTCTTAGTTTTGTTGAGACAGCCTCTTGCTATATATAGCTCAGTAGAGCCCACATTAGCCTTGAACTCACTTGTAGTCCAGGGTGGTTTTGGAATTAGCAGGCATCCTACCTCAAAGCTAACAGAATGCTAGGGTTACAGGTATGTACCATACCCAGCTATAAGTCCTTTTAAAATCTTATTGTATAAACATTAATTGCTACTTTAAAATACAAGGAAAGCACTAATTAAGTTAGCTGAATAACAGAAAAATTAAAATAATAAAAATTGAAAACATTTTGTTCATTTACATTATTTTAAAAATGGATAGGGATATTATCCAAGACTAGTTAGAAGTTATTATTTTAGGAAAAATACTAACGATTAGAGCAAATCCAGAGGAAAAATTTTACTAAAAATTTTTTTATTCATTAAAAAATAGGCAAATGTTTTTTTCTGTCTTGGTTCTAATTTCATCAGTATTTTATAGAGCACTCTCTTTTCTGAGTTTTTCTTGTCACAGAAATCAGCTGAACCATAGATATAGGTAATTTACTTAGGATTTACTTTAACAAACACTCAGCAGGACCTGTGACAACGAAGACATAAGATATACTAGGCACACTGTTCTACAACAAAACAAATGATAACTACACCAGACAAGTGTGGCTGGCTTCCCTACTATATATAAAAGACATTATTTAAAACTCCCCCCCCCCTTTTTTTTTTTTTTTTTTTTTTTTTTTTTTTTTTTTTTGTGATGATCCCTGAGCCTTAGGTATAGGGATTGTGTTATGGATCTATCAAGTTGGAGTAGGCAACTCATCTGCATGTTAGACCGGCTGTGCTTTCTATAACAGTCTCCTGCAGTTGCAAAAAGAAGCTTCTTTGATAAGGGGTGAGTGCTACACTTATCTGTGGACATAAGGGTACATATTTAGAATGCAGTTAGAGATTATCCTGTCTTAGGAGACTGGCAGTAACAGACTTTCCACTAGAATTCATGATCTCACCAACCACAGGTAATTAGCTAGGTTGACAGCAGTAGGCATAAATCCCTTCCTACTAGTGGGCCTTAAGTCTAATTAGATGGCTGACAGCTACACCCAAGATATTGGTGCTATTACTGTACCCTTTGGGCTATCTTGACATGCTGTCATTGTTGCAGTCTTAGATTTACACCTGGGTAGGATGACTGATTGCTTTTCTCTTCTGGCAGCTTGCACAGCACCTTCAGATACTATGAGAGCTACTGCTCAGGGAGGAAGCTTGCAGGTCAGTTCTAGCTCTATTCTTCCCAATCCTATGTCTGAAGTATTTGGTGCCTGATGCAGCCTAGTCTTACCTTAAAGTTATGGGACACAACGAAGGCCAAAGACAACTGCCTAACATTTTAATCATACATGTAAAGAATAAAAATTTGAGCTGTATGAAACCCCTAATACCTGCTTAAGAGGGGGAATAGTATGTTCCCAGGCAAAATGAACTGCCTGAAGGCAATGACTGCTTCACCCTTTGTACCTAGAACAAAGACTAGCAGGACTGGGCCAATAAATAAATAAATAAATAAACAAACAAATGGGAGACAAAAGGCTCAATAAAAGAAATAATTAAGTTGCCTTACGTACGCATACATTTGGTTCAAAAGCCATTGACCACTTGCTACTTAATAGTAAGGCTCCAGAGTTAATCAGGGAAGAAGAAACTTCTTGTTCCTTTATATAAAATTTACATTGCAGTGGAAAAGTAAACTATCTAACACAAAGGTAAATAACCAAATTTATACTTAGCAGTTGTGGTTAGAGCCATGCTAAATACACAAGGTATTGTAAAAGGGGCTTTCCTGTAGGGAAAGTAGGGCATTTATTCAAGTGGTAAGGAGTTTCAAAATTGACCCTGCAACAAAATCTGTCATCTTCAGAAACTAGAGATGAAAACATGGATGGGTCCCTGCTTCCTAAGAAACAGGGCCTTCCCTTACATGATCAGGAAAGCCTAAACCAGAGCTAGTCAATCAAGCATTCCATTATACCAAAGAACTGCCCAGCCCAAAATGGCAAATGTCATATTTAAGACCACCGATAAATGTCTAACAAAAGATGAAGTATTTCATTAGGTAGTTACTAAAGACTCGACTGCTACTCATACTACCTCTTCCAGAGCATAACAGACTACCTTGAAATCAAGGTTGTACCTCATTCACTTTCACTTTCCCAGATCCACAACCCTGAACCTGAAAAAGGCAAGCAACCATTTAGTGACTACCTTTTACACATTCAAATGACAAAACCCAACAAACTGCTAAACTAGAGGAAATTATGCTTGATATGAGCATGTCAACATCATTTCTACAGATGTAAGAACAACACTGGAAAGACAACTGTTGCATTTTGAAGTCCTACAGAAATAAAAGGCTTAAAGCTATATACCCAGGCATCTAATCTCAGCTTTGAAACATAAGCAGCCCAGGAGAAAAGTCAGAAGTCAGTCTTTACAAAAATCAATTTCCTTTACAGAAGTCAATCTCACCCAAAATATATTTTATCAGGAGGTATTATAGGTAAGCAGATCAAAATTATGCTACATGATGTCTAGACAGCTTGGACACTTCTTTGGATGTGGGGAGGTCACACCAGAGCAGTACAGAGAATGAACATATTGGGGTTTGAAAAGAACAAAATTGACACCAGAACTACAATAGGAGGATTGTCAGGGAAGAGGTGAGAGGGCAGAGTAAAGGAGGGAATACAGGGACAGGTAATACTAAAAGCCTTGGCTTGAAAAGCCACATGGAAATCTACTACTGTAGAATATACATGAAGGGAATTTAAATGAAGTCACCATATAATGGGGAGACAATGTCCCAACTAAACATCTTACAACGTGAAGTAAAACTTACAGTGCCACATACAATGCTACATCTTGTTGAGTCACAGGCCAAAGGGGTCCCAGAAACCCTCCCAAACATCACAGACTACTGTCAAGGATATTGGTTACCCTCTACAACCTGCTTCTGAAGATACCACTTATTTATATCATCAAACATGAAGAAATTGAGCTGGTGTCCAATTAGAAGCTTCATCCCCACAGACTAATCCTCATGGTGTTGGAAGGTACTTTGCATCCTGCTGGAGAACTGTCATCATCAATAATACCTGGCCAAAAACCCTGAGACCTACAACAGCAACCTGCCTATACGGGTGCAATAGTGGAACAAACATTATACAAGTAAATAACCACTTTTTAATTGGAGCTAAGGCCCACTCCATGAAACAGAACCCATTCCTAACATTGCCAATAATCTAAGACTATACAGGTTATGGGCCCTATGGGAAAACCTACCATTATTACTGTGCTAAAAGAACACAGCAATAAAATGACTCCTAATGACACACAGCAATACCTGTACATCAGAGCACTGCTCATAACTCATCACAGAAGCTTCTTCTTGCAGTAGGTGGTAATTAACAGAGACCCACAACCGGACAACGTACAAAAGAAGAGACTTGGAAAATCTCAGCCCTAAATGGGATGTCTTTATCAAACCCTCCCCTCAAGGCTCAGGATCCATAAGGTCCTGTGGGGGACTGAAAGAGACAGAGGTGTTAAATGACTCTAAAGAAGCAGGGTCCAGTGGAAACAGTGATAGACATACAAACTCACAAAGACTGTGACAGAATGCATAAGACCTGCACAGGTTCAAACTAAAAAAAATCTTATAATGGAGAAGAAGAAGTGGATACAATGTCTCACCCCTAACCAAGAAGTTATTTGCAGCTGATACCTGCCAAAAAAGGGAAAGTCACTGAGTATATCAACCACATTCCAGGATAGGCCCTATACTAAAATAGACTCTATCTTTTGAACAATTTCATTTTATTTAGTTATTTTTTGTTGTTGATTTTTTTTTAGTTTGTTTTGATTTTCATTTTTGTTGCTTGTTTTGTTTGGGTATTTTTTTTAAAGAGAGAGAAAGAGAACATGAAGTTGGATGGGTAGGGGGAAGTGGGAAGGATCTGGCAAGAGACAGGAGGAAGGAAAACCTATACTTAAGATACACTATGTGAAAAATAATTTAAAAAATCCTTAAACAAAAATATAAATTATAATGAAAAAGACTGTTAGAAAAGTAACATACCAGAAGCCAAGCAAATGTTAAAAAAAAACACAATTTAGAAAGTAATTAAGTGAAAGGTAATATAAACAAATAGACATAAAGAAAAGATAGCATCAGAAGGTGTTTAAGGACAGCAAACATTTTTAATGAGAGGAGTAAACACTGTAAAAGAATACATTAAAATAAATGAGAGGAAAGCACAAGTGTACAACAAATGCAGAGCGTTAAAGAAATTTAAGTAGAAATGAAGTCATTTTACAGCTTTGTAAAAACATTTCAAATTAAAAATCGTGAATTATCATACATTTATTGTAACTGATATTTCTCAAGCAGAATAACTTTTAAAACTGGAGTTCAATTCCAAGGACCACAAATATTGGCTCCTTGAAAGGCAAAGAAAATATAACTAATTAAATTTTGCAATAGCTTTTCATGTCTCAAAGTACCAAAAAGTGTGTGTGTGTGCTATTTTGAAAGAACACTCCAAAACGTATTTATAGTAGGCCTATACTAGTCCTGAGAAGACAAATATATCTTATATTTATGGGTGGAAGTTTTTCAAAGAAGAATCAGGAATGTGATCCAGTAACACAAGAAAACTGATTTTTAAAAAACGATAGTATCTCTTCTGAACCTGGTTCTGGAATTCAGAAAAAAAAAAAAAAAAAAAAAAAAATTTTTTTAAAAAAAAAAAAAAACCGGATGTAATAACATAAGTTCCTCCCTTTGCATCCCCACCTCCTGTCCAACTATTCTGAAGGTTTTTTGTTTTTTTTTTTTTTTTTTGAGATAGTGTCTCAATTTAAAAAAAAAAAAGTAAGTACCATGCAGCTGGGCACATGGCAGGTTCCAGGAATGGGTCATAACTGTCTAGGCTGGGGGCATTTTTAAACAGTAGAATATAAACCACCCACCCACAAGAGCAAAAAAGGAGTTGTTAGCCAGCACTGAAGTAAAGCTTACAGGGACGTCCAAACATCTCAGCCGTATTATTTTTAGTTCTTTTCCTTGAACAGAAAAAAAAAAAAAAAGTTCAAAAAGGAACCATTAAGGAGTTAACAGCATCAGATATAAGGAGACCTTTCTACTATGACTGTCTTCACACTTCACATATAGACACTCAGCTCTAACCAGAAAACTGACATCTAGAAAAACAATTGAATAAGGACCTTTGAAGTAATAGCTATAGAAATAGCTGACAAAAAAGTAGTCACTCAAAGTTCTTAAATACTGCATACCTGACCTTGCTAACACAAAGCTCACACCTTTAACTCCAGAGGAAGTGGCAGGATGACCTCTGTAGCTTCTGGCCCACATAGACAGTTCCAGTCCAGCCAGAAATACATAGTGTGACCCTATCTAAATCAGGAAAAAAAAAAAAACTTTCTCTCAGAAAGAATATGACCTGACTTCCATCCAAATAGGTTATTCTTCTCCATAGCCATAATACTTTCACAGATTTGATGATCTAGCAGGAACATTTCATTTTGAGGTCTAAGTATCTCCATAGTTGAGGGAATAAATATGTATTGTTCCTTAATTTACATATTTTTACCCTGATCTCACAGGAAGGTATCCACATACATCTGCTTGCAATCTAAATTGAAGAAATCAAAATATGGCTTTAGATAAATAAAAACAATATAATTTTAGGAGTATCTATATCCTCAACGTAAAACTAATTACCAAATGGTAGTGATAAATCTGTATTATCTGAGGCCATGGACTATGGGAATGTGGTCTCATGAATGTTTCCAGACATTATTTCGTCTTCCTTTGATGTCCATGGCGTCTATGAAACCTATTCAGATTCAGACGACTGTACCTTATCAACATCATCTTTCAAGTAATCACTTCCCTGATATTAATTTTATGCTACAATCAACATAAGTCCTTCCCCTTGTCCCGACAGTTTCCCATAACCTTCAAGCAAGACGCTACCCACCACCACTTACTGACTTTCTGTTGGTCAAAAGGGGCTATCTGTTAATGATCTTCTCTTTATACCATTGGCACAATCCAATTAAGATACTGACTCAAAGTCCTATTTCTAAAAATAATGGCATCGGGATTTAAATATCTTTTTTTTTAAACTCAACCACCCGTGTTTATGTTTTTCTCCACAATGACAAGTCAAGGTCTTTAAAAAGGGAAACTGGTATTTCACACAAACTGCTCTTCCTTCTCATGCTGCAATGGCTTATTTCAACACACACCTTACCCAAGTGGATGTATCACTGAACTTCAGGTTGCTCCTTTTCTAGTATAGATACACCTCTAAGCGCATATGGTGCTTCCCTTCCAGACTCCTCCCTCTGGTAAACTGCCTCCTCCATTTCTAAAACACTTTTGGCTACATCACTGGTGGAAGAGGCTAAGTAAGGATGCTGGCTGAGCTTCCTCACCCGCAGCCTGACGGCAAGGAGCAATGTGCGCATGCTCACTGCGAAGGCCGCAGCCCGCCACCGCAGGCAGGTGCTGACAGGGGGCGTCGCGGCCCGGGTCTGACCGGGATAGGACGGCGGGCACCGCGAGGATGAAGCGACGTCGGGGCGGGTGGGCACACTCACATTCTCAGCATCCACTCGCCTTCCATCACCAGCGTCCAGTTGGAGGCGGTCGCGCCCCCCCCCCCCCCGCGCCCGCCCCGGTCGGGCCCCCCCCCCCCGCCGCGGGGGGGAGCCAGGCGGCCAGGAGCACCGGGACACAGCAGCTGCCTGTCATGGTGGCACCCGCGAGGTAGCTCGGCTCACTGAGGCAGGAAGCAGTGACTGGGTATCTCAACCCAAGCAACCGCCCTCCCTGAGGTCTGCGGCGAGCCCAACCCGCCTCCGCGACGCGCTCCGGGCCCCGCCTGCAGTGCCGCCTGCTGCCTCCTACCGCCCCGCCCTGCAAGGCCACGCCCAGCCATCATGGCCACGCCTCCTACGCACGGCTGAAGGGTGGTTGCCCAGGCAACCGTCTGCTGTTAGCCAAAGGCACCGACCGGCTCTTCCTGCTGACTGTCTGGCTGAAAATACACAGATGACCCAATGCTGTTTAAGCAACCGCTTGCACCCTCTTCGCTGTTTGTTTGTCTAACGGGAAGCGTGGCCGGTGGCTAAACAAACCCATTCCCCCTTTCATGGTAACACAAACATCCAAGGTCTGGGGAGTGGACCATGGCGATTGGAGGGAGAGCTCTCTGCACGGGCACACTGGAGCAGCACCGCTCAATGAGATAAAACTAGATTAATGATAAAACTAGATTATGCAGTCTTTTAAAAAATAAACCTTTTTAAAATTTTACAGACATTTAAGACATGCGTACTAACAAAATGAGTCAGTTCGTGAGTATTGCTAGTTGCAATGAAATTTTTTTCTCAGCCTTTTTCTCCCAGCTACTATTTTGCCAAACCTAGAATCATAGTAGTGGTACACGATTTTCATATCTTTACAGATACAGAGTAGGCGAAACTGTATGCTGGGACCACCACACCCTGGAGATGCAAGACTCATTGCAATTAGAGGGCCCATGAACTTCTTTAGATGTCTAAATTGCAAAATTCAGTAGTGTGGTTAGTATAGCACGAAAAATCTGGTTTACATTCCTAGGATGAAACACTGCTATGCAACTCAGTAAGTAATTACTCTAGTCAGTAATACAGAAAAGTTCAATTTTGCATACAGAGATGTTGTGTGGATAAGATGTTATGGTATGCATATCAAGTCTACAATTGTCAGTAGAAAGCACTTTACTGTGCTTGTAAAAGATTCATAAACAGGCCAGGTGTTGGTGGCACACGCCTTTAATCCCAGCACTTGGGAGGCAGAGGCAGGCGGATCTCTGTGAGTTCAAGGCCAGCCTGGTCTCCAGAGCAAGTCCCAGGATAGGCTCCAAAGCTACCCAGAGAAACCCTGTCTTGAAAAAAACCAAACAAAAAAAAGATTCATAAACAGAAGTCTATCATTTTCAGTGGCTTTTTTATACAGGATATATGATTCTCAAAGTTCTTATAATAATATCTGATAGAAATTGCTATTGACTGTGCTGAGTGCAATAAAGATGTTATGACTATATTTTTAAATCACTACTAGCTCTAGGCAATATGTATTTATGCAATGCAATAATATGACGCACTGGGTCTGGTGGTACAGGTTGGGGATCCATATCCCCAAGATGCTTAGGTGGGAGTATCACAACCTGGGCCACTTAGGTATTGTGTCAAAATAGTTAAAAGGAGGCTGAGGATATAACTATGTCAGAGAGCATTGTCCCACAAATTGCTTTTTAAAAAATCCTATCTCTTGAATTTCAGGTGTTAGAGGAGGAGGACAGTAAGACACAACTCATCAAGGGCATGTGGGAGTGGCTTTGCCTTTAGGAGCCACAGACCAGGAAAGGGGAATAGCTGCCTTGACCCATGATGGCTTCCAGGGCCCAGTGCTTCTTAGCCACAAAAAAATTAGGCATAAAACTAACTTCTGTTTAAATACAGTGGATGGTAAAAACTGCTCCAAAAGGTAGCTGTGAAGATAATAGAGATACAGTTTACTTGGTATGACTCAGGAAAACTGGCTAATATTTGTAGGCAACAGCATTAGATAACATTTATAGGGCTTTATGCTTTTCCTAAAATCAAAATCTCTTAGATGACATGCAGTCTCCTTCATAATGCTGATGACAGAATGCTGGTGGCATCCTCGATAAGTCTTTATAAAATATATAGATTAATGGTTATGGTTGATACTTAGGACAGAGCTAGCAAATGAGAAATCCTAGTCATTGGCCAGCAGCATTGTAACTAATATAAGACTATGTGTGTTGTTTGGGGACCCTAGTGTAGCAGCTGGCAGAAAGAGTTATCATTACAACAGAATTTTCTCTTCCACCTGGTCCCATAGCCCTTAGTCCCAAATAAACACACAGAGGCTTATACTAATTATAAACTGTTTGGCTGATGACTTAGGCTTCTTACTGGATAGCTCTCTTAATTATTAACCCATAACTATTAGTCTATGTTTATACATGGTCTTATCTTACCAGAGAATGACCAGTGTCCTATCTTCCGGATAGCTACATGGCATCTCTAGGCTCCTCTCTGCCTTCCTCTTCCCATAATTCTCCTGGTCTGATAGGCCCACCTATAATTCCTGCCTGGCTACTGGCCATTCAGCATTTATTCATCAACCAATAAGAGAAACATATATTAGCAGCATACAGAAGAACATCCCCCATCATAATGCAGCTTTGTTTTTGCCCACCATTCCCATAAGCCCCAGTGCTCCAGTAACAGAAAGCTATGTCTCATTCCCAAATCACATTGTATACTTTGTCTCCTTGCATTTCCATTCCTCCTACAATCACTACTCTGACTCCACCATATAACACAGCTCACATTATACCTCTGACAGACCTGGCAGAATGAGGTGCTAATTTCAAAACCAGTAGGTCTTCTGTTTAGCTGTTCCACAGCTCTGTCCTATGCAACAATGACACTTCCTTATCACCCACTTATCCCCTCTTATCTCCAAAGCCTACTAAGGACCATCAAAGGATGTAGAGTTACTTTGTGTCTTTGTGTCTCCTACATTGTGAACTCCAATTTTATAGTAATACCTGGCTTAGGCAGTTTCTGGCAGATGCCAATCTCTGATATTCAGAATCTCTTGTCTGTCTCTCAACTTGAATGAGGATTGGGTTAATGACTCACCTTTAACAAAATACAATGGAAAGTTGAGTTAGGTCTTCACCAATAAGATCACCAAACCCTTGGAACTCCCATCCTGCTGGCATTCATGCTCCTCTTGCTTTCTCATTTTGATTCCATGTTTAGGGAATTGCAAGTGAAACAATGGAGGGAAGCTTCAAGCCAACATCCCACAAAGAGCTGAGGCCTCTATACAATAGCCTGATGGGAACTAAACCTCGGGAACAGCCAGGTGTGTGATCAGGATGTGGTTCCTTCCCCAGTCCTTGTGAGAGGACACGGCCTGATGAGTTATCCAGAACCTCAAGCTGAAGATCAGGAGGACTTTTATGCACAGAAACTGAGATATTCAAAGGAATTTTAAGCTAGCCAGATTTGGAATAAAATTGAGGCACACCTTTTCTTACCAGACAAAATTGGTGTTGTAACCCACCTAGCAGAAAGAAAGATAGTCTAAAGGGACTCTGTGTGTCTCAATCTGACAGTAGACCCCCAAAGAAAGGGACATTTCCCAAGGAATCTCATGGTGGGAGAAGGAAATGGTGCCAGCTGGAGGGGTCCTTTTTTTGTCTTCCTGAATTCTTTCAGGAAGTTTCACAGTTCTAAAAACTTGTCAAACCACCTTACAGAACGAGACTGAAGCCCAGACAATGATGTCAACACCTTGACCAGGACCGCTTCGTAGTGTGTATCCTTCTATCTAAACTTGGAACGCAGACTTAAGGGTCTCATGGGACATCTTGGTTCTCTGCCCAACATGGCCACCTTGAATAAATCTGCTTTTTCTGTTTTCCAATTTTGATTTGGCTCTTTTAATTATCTTTTTGAGGACAGTGGTCAGGCATGGCTTGGAATACAGGTTGTGACTCTCAAGTCCAACAACAGAACCTGGTACTGAGGAATAGATCTTTTGTCCTTGGAGCAGTTTGTAATGATGCGGCTATGGTGACATCTCTGATTACACAAAAATTATGAGTCCTTATAATAAAGGGAGGATATATATATATATCCTCTTTTACCAGTCCAAGGGGGTATATGCTTTGACATTTGCTTTTGCATCCGTTTTTAATGTCAGGAAAGCCACTATGAATAGTTCTAGCTACAAAGTTTTATGATCAAGAATGTGAATGTATTGATGGTGGAATGAAGTACTCAGGCATGTGTCTAAGATGCCTAGTGTCCCCTTTGCCTGCTACAGGAACTTTAGAGAAACATTCATGACCTGAGAGCCTACAAGAGAAGGCAATTTGATTGTCTGAGCTGCTTTCTGGAGAACAGCTGAACAGATGGCTTCCTGGAATCTCCGTAGGTTTCACATAGGCAAGATACAGTGTAGAGATGACCGGCCAGTAGCTAGGCAGGAGAGGATAAGCAGGAATTCTGGGAAGAGACAGGAACTCAGGGAAGAATCAGTTATACTGGACACAGGAAGTCTAGCATATGGTACTGAGAGGTAATGAGCCACATGGCAGAACATAGATTAATATAAACAGGTTAATTTAAGAGCTAGTTGAGAACAAGCCCAAGACAAGGCCAAGTTTTCATATTTAATACAAAGTCTCCATGTCTTTATTCAGGAGGGGTTTGTCTAAAGAAAGACCTATTACACAGTAGTGTTGAGCTCCTGCTTGCATCTGTACACACACACACACCTTGAGCTTTTTAACCATCCAAGTCAACTCAAGTGGTTGGGCTGTGACATTGATCGACTTTCCAGTTAACTGTCCCTGTTTCCCAGCAGATTTGCAGCACTGCCTAAACCCTGACAAATCATGATGCTAGTTTTCTTCAAATATATTTAAATACATGACAACATGCACTTAAAATATCTGCAATATGAAACATGCCGTTTTGTCAAGTTGTCAATGTCTGCTTTTGTTTCAACCAATAGGAATGAAAACAAGTCTACCAACGCCTAAAACTGCCAGTTTTCTTATCCCAAAGGGCCAGAAATAACAGACAAGCTCTGAGAGGTTTATTTTGAAAGCATAATCACTTTCTCAGTTTATCTCATTTTCTGCCATGCAAAACAGAATTTTCATCAAATCACTTGATAGATGATTTAAAGGTCCTTTTCTGTGAACTCGTGGCTTCCAAGATTCTGGGTGGATAAAAGAGCTAGGAAATAGAGGTGACATCACAGCCAGGAATTAGACAAAAGGCAAAACTCCTCCTGGGAGAAGGAACACACCATTTATTACCTATGTAAGATGATTATAGGTTC